GAATTTGCCAGGAAAGCCAGAGTGAGTCACAACCTTTTTCTAAAGTTACTGTATTGACTGGCATCCTGTCCTTGGAGGCTGAAGTATTTGAGAAGGGCCTCTGGCAGTCCAAACATTCTCTGGACATTAACCAAACAACCTCATGTGAGCAGGATAATGGCAGTTATGTCTGAAAGTCCTAGCTGTTAGAAAAAAGGAGGGAATTATGGCTCCGCATCCCAAAGATGGACCATGTCTCTGTTCTTAAGGTTAAGGGTGACATATTCTGTACACCTTGTATTGCAGCATTCTTTACTATTACTGTAAATGGAAGCGTCCGATCAAAGTATCTGTGAAATGATGTGAAAAAGATTTGATTACGTCCCATCCAGAAGTGGCCAAGCAAGCAGTTAAAGAATACATTGGTAGAGAAAATACAGTTCATCTCTGTTAAGTATTCAGGGTGGTGGTGGAGTCTACCACTGTGGAGACATTCAAAACTCACCTAGATGTGTTGCTTTTCACCTGCTGTAGGTGACCACCTTGGCAGGGGGGGTGTGCCTAGATGACCTCCAGAAATCCTTCCAACCCTAACTATTCTGTGATTATGTTATTCTGCTGAACAAAATCATTGGAGACGAATGTAATCAGCAGGCCAGTTTTGTCTTTTTAATGTGTGAAAGAAAAAACAGTGAAGATACAGCAATATATCTGCCTACATCTCCAGGCTTAAGAAAATTTAACATGGATTAATATTTAAATATTTATTATTTAAAAAATAATATTTTTCTTCTGACAAAGAATAAGAGTCAGGTATATTTGTGTAGAAGCTATGGTCTTCTGTTTGTTCTCAGACTGCAGAGGGGCAAACTGGTATGTTTTAAAACAAGAACTAGGTAAATGTAACATTTAGGAGCTGGCTAAAAACTAGTCTGAAATCACTTGGCTATAATCAAGTTTCTGATACCCCTCTTTTTGGGCACAGAAAACCAATACCATCAGCTCTCAATAGCTGTCATACTTTGCTAAAATTGTACCACTACATAAAGGGATCTGCAAGAAAATAACAACCTTTTGAAATTACATTATCAACAAGCATTGAGTAGCCTTCATAGTTGTTTCTGCACTGGGGGAATAATTCTTCATTCATAAAAATATAGAGTAGTCTTTTCAGATGTTAGTGAATTGTTTTTAAGGGTGGTTAAAGGAAATACATCACTGATTGTTCCTGAATAAACCTGCAAAAAATTAAAATCACATTTTAAAAGACCTGGATTGCCTTCTGTTTGTGGTGGTGTGTACTGAACTGTTCATCACTAAAAGTAAGTGGGTTAGATAGCACTCAATCACCTGAGTTGTTGATTCTCATGTCTTAAAAAGATGAAATGTTTGCAGCAACTGAAAGTACCACTGGCAAGTGTCTCTGAAAAAAACTCAGAGCTTTGTGGAGGGAAGGGAATTGCTGCCATGCTGCTGCTGAGGGCATGGCACTTCAGCACACAGGGATCTTACCACTATCATGGAAGCTGCATGCCTGAAAGCCCTGGTTACTTTACCAAGAGGGCTGTTGGAAGTGGCAAAACAGGCTGGCTTACTATGTTTGTAGAGATGAAGCTTTTTGAGGGTGTGTTGGTTTTGCATGGCCTGGTTTTTGCTAGCAGGGGAGCACAAAGCTGGCTTGTGTAAGAAACTGCTAGAAGCTTCCACCATGTCTGGTGGAGCTCTGATGACTCTGAGGATGGACGTGCTGCTGGCCATGCCTGGGCCAATTAGAAATGATGGTAGTGCCTCTGCAATAGCAGATTTAAGAAGAAAATTAAAACAAAGTGGGCACAGGTTCTCTCCTAGCCTGAGAAGAGGAGGAGGTGAGAACATGTGAGGGGAACAACATGGAGACACCAAGGTCAGTGGAGAAGGAGGAGAGGAGGTGCTCCAGGTGCTGGAGCAAAGATTCCTCTGCAGGCTGTGGTGAGACCATGGTGAAGCAGCTGTGCCCCTGCAGCCCATGGGGATCCACAGGGGATGCAGAGATCCACCCGCAGCCCCTGGGGAAGGTGCCCGTGCCAGAGAGGGTGGATGCCTGGAGGAGGCTGTGGTCCTGTGGAAGACTCGATGGAGAGAGGGGGCCCTGCTTCCAGGCTGGAGCAGCCTGTCCTTGGAGGGCTGCACCCCATGGAAGAGTGACCCACACTGCAGCAGTTTTGGGAGGACTGCTGCTCGTGAGATTGGAAGGCAGAGAACTGTGTCCCATGGGAGGGACCCCGTGGTCTCAGAGGGGCAGGACTCCTCTCCCTGAGCAGTGGAAGAAAACCTCAGTGATGAACTGACCAAAACCCCCACACCCTGTCTCCCTGCACTGTTGGTGGGAAAGGAGGGAGGGACTGGGGGGAAAAAATGTTCTTTAAGGGGTTATTTTAGTTCTCATTATTCTTCTCTGATTTTGTTAGCAATAAATTCACCTTCTACCCCTAAGGTGAGCCTGTTTTGCCCTTGGAGTGTTTTCTCCTGGTCCTTATCTCAACTCGCGATTTCTCTCTCCTCTGCCCAGCTGTGGCAGGGCAGGGTGGGCGAGCAGCTCTCGTGGCTGCCTGGTGTTCGGCCAGTGTCAAACCATGACAAAGGGCCACAAGAGTCCTGTCACTAGTGAGCTGAAATGCAAAGTTAGGAATTCAACTGATGTCCTATTTCTTTGTAAGAAGTGGGTCAAGTGCCAGACAGTTTTAAGGTAGGCAGTACTTTGAGTCATTGCTACCCCCAGGCAGTCTCCAAGCAGTGATATTTAATAAAATCTTGGACTAGTAATCCAGCAAAGAGTAGGTTTGCTGGATTTCCAAGAGTTTCTGCTTTTTCTGCCTAGCAGTATCATTTTCCTGAGCCTCTGTTTGCTGGTTCTATCAGTGTGATCTCAGTTCAGGCTGGTGTTGGAAGAACAGGGAAACCACAGAATCCAAATCTGGCAGAAAGGTGACCTGCCTAGGCAGATCCATACATAATAAATGCAGAACTGAACAGGTGATGGGATGAAATCGTATGGAACTGCACATATACATTTACTGGCACATGTGTGAGGTAGATTAGTAATTGCCAGGTGTAGAAGGTTTGAAAACCTGAACCCTTGCAAAGTGATCTCACCTGATGCTGCCTAAATTATCTTTTGCATGCTGATGTTGTGGACAGGAATAGAAATATTCCTATAAGCGTTTATTCAAGCATTCCAGCACCTAGTCTGTGAC